CTGGTAATTTTCTTTATGAGTGAATTTATCCCTCAGTTTAACTATCTTTTAATATTATTTTATTTTATCGTTGTTATTGTAATCGACAATACCATTTATTCGCATGGAAATGCCAATAAATTGATTAACTAATTGATTGATATATTTATTCCTATTGACATATTGATAGACTGGAAAAATCTGACGAAATTCCTGTTTTACAGTTTGAGGAGTTTCGAATGGGTGGCGGGGCAAGCAATTTTATGACTAGAAAACAAGCTTAACCCCCTCTTTTTTGTGCAGAAACAAGGTGCGGACAAGCTGGAGCACGGTATAGATTGTGAGGACTCTGAAGACGAACTTGCTGACTTCCGAGATCCTGGCCTTGAAGGAGAGGATGGGCTAGACAGTGACAGAGAATTAAGAAACAAAATTCACGGCGTTGCACAAAGAAACGCAGAAGGCCACTCCTTCACCTCCAACGCTGAGATGGAAGAAATTGTTTCCCTTCAGAACCTACCAGGTTGCGTTAATTATGGTTTTGAGCGTAAAAACTCCTCCGAAAGTTTGAGAAACAGAAAGTTGAAAAATGAAGTTGGCGTACAAGTTGACCTGGACGATTAATTTAAAACGGTTTTTGACTCTTCTATCCTTCTTGATATTTTTTGAAATTTGTTGCAGTGGATTGGGAGATCCTTTAATCAGCGAGAAATAATTGGCCTGCAAGCAGAGGTTTTTCTCTTGCATGGCTTTAAGCGTTGACAAAGTCTCTCGCGTCGCTTGTCATTCGCGTAATAAACCAGCTGTACGCGAATGACAAGCAACGCGAACAACTTCGTAAACGCTAAAAGCCCTGCAAGAGAAAAACCAACGCTCGCAGGGTAGAAAATATCGGAAATTTCAGGAACTATTTAAAACGTTATTTTAGATTTTCAGTTTATCTTTTTCATATACAGCTATTTCGAGAAAGATTGTCGGAAAAAATGAGCACGCGACAATCCCGAAAGGTAATATGGGATTTGATCAAGACGCTGTTCCTGACACTTTAGCTGTCGAACCTACTTTTGCTGCTTTCCTTTAGCACTCGCAAACATACGTCTATGGTCTCTCCTGCCATTCTTTCAAATTTCTTTGAAAAACAGTGAACTCAAAACCACCCACAATACCTTTCGGGGTTGTCGCGTGCACTTTATCCAACAACCTTTATCGAAATTGACACATTGGTTGAGACAATCAGATAAACTTTTGCACAGAATATTTGAATCGTAATGATAAAGGGGTTTGTGAAAAAGGACATTCCCCATCGCTTTTTCAAACGGGATAACATTTAGTTATTATGATTACTTGATGCTGAAACTTACGTTAACTTTATGATTCGTCTTGGGACATGGTAACATTATAGCGTCGTGAGTTACGTGAGAAAATCGATTCCTAGTAGAAATTCCTTTAACATAAAATCGTTGGGGAAAAATTACTTCCTTTTAATTTCCGGCGCTACCAAAATTTTTTGAAATGTTTGAAAATATCTGTCAACTACACATGAAGATTTTGATCGGAGATAAATTAAGAAATGTGTGTCGATGTCTAGCGTGAGACAGAGCCAGTCTCGCCGAGATTATTGGTTATCTTTCACTTACAGAGCTTCAGTTTTATAAAATGTATATCGTCTGGAATCAGTAGAATTTTCGTCGATGTCATGGTCCATTTCTTAAAACAGTCGGAACATCAAAGTAAAACGGTGTGTTTCAAGACGAGTAAACGAAACCAATTACCTACGTGAGGGCTTTTTTCACGTGCAAAAATATTGAGATATTAGTTATCCTGAAATCTCTATACGTTTTTGATTAAGCAAGCCTGGGCATTATTTTGATTAAGCAAGCCTGGGCATTATTCGAGAAAACATTTGATAATCATCTAGAGTTTCAAGTCTCTGTCATGATGTCTGGCAATTATTAGCAAACGAGTTAGTCTGGTAAATACCCTCCGTTAGTGTCGTAGAATATTAACCCCTTCACCGTAAATGGAATCTTTTCCTCAGAATCATTTCTTCTTCACTACCTTTTTATTGGAAGAATACAAAGGAAGACACCTCTCGCCCAAAATTTCTGAACTTCTGATATCATATCATTATTGTTCTTTAAGGGAAATGGAACACGAAAAACTTCATATTTTACTGCACTTTTTACCCTTTAATCAACGACAGTCTTTTTCATGAACTAATGAACGACAAATATCCTCTTCACTCACTAAGCACAAACGAAATGATATTCTTTCTCATAAATAACCCAAATCCCCTAATTTGCAAGAAACTTGGTCACTTTATCGTCCTGGCCTCTGAAAAATGTAAAAGTACGACAAAAGATTACCGTCTGGTAATTTTCTGTATGAGTGAATTTATCCCTCAGTTTAGCTATCTTTTAATATTATTTTATTTTATCGTTGTAATTGTAATCGACAATACCATTTATTCGTATGGAAATGCCAATAAATTGATTAACTAATTGATTGATATATTTATTCCTACTGACATATTGATAGACTGGAAAAATCTGACGAAATTCCTGTTTTACAGTTTGAGGAGTTTCGAATGGGTGGCGGGGCAAGCAATTTTATGACTAGAAAACAAGCTTAACCCCCTCTTTTTTGTGCAGAAACAAAAATGAAAGCACCGAAATATTTTCCAACTTTACCTTATTTTGATTGTGTTCATGCTTGAGTTATGGAAAAATCTGACGAAATTCCTGTTTTACAGTTTGAGGAATTCGAATGGGTGGCATGAGGGCAAGCAATTTTATGACTAGAAAACAAGCTTAACCCCCTCTTTTTTTCTGCAGAAACAGAAATGAAAGCACCGAAATATTTTCCAACTTTACCTTATTTTAATTGTGTTCATGCTTGAGAACTCAAGCATGAACACAATTTGCTTGCACCTGAATATTAGGTAAAATCCAAGATGGCGGACTAGGTAAGCGCCATTTTGAATGACGTCACGGGTAACCTATTTCTTATACTACTTACGTCATCGAATAGCGATCATTACAGTATGATTTTGTCTGGTAATGGAAGTGAATTTATTTGCAACTGTTGGCCTGGTTCGGCACGTAGTTGAGCTCGGCAAGAAAATATCTAGCAGTATACATGTATGTATAGGTAACACGTCATAAAAATCACTTTTTTTTCCCTTTGAAAACAGAGTCATGCAGCACATATGCCTTATTTGTCGAGCAAACCTAATTTCGTTTACAAGCCCTCAACTGAAATAGGAAAAATTATAGATAGATATAGATGCAGTACGCTGGGTTGTAAAAAATTCGTAACAGATACTTGCGTACTTAGATTTTTCCATGGCCTTCCCGATCTGACTGATTCTAGGGATGGCACAATGGACAAAAAACAGTCTGAATGTACATTTTAAATTTTTGTCACAGTTTAACAAAGAAAATATCTACATAGCTTCAAATGTTGTAGCTGAACTAATTTTCAATTTATAACTGAAATCTTTGCCCAGCACATGCGTTACAAACGGACGAACATCTTGATACGAAACTTATATGATTCTTGTGAGAAATTTTTGAACTCATCCTCGAAATAATTTTCAATAAAGTGAGCAAATTTTGTTTTGAAATGTCTATAGATTGAAGACCGGAACAAATCAAAACGAATTTACTTTGTTTGAATGAAAAAAGAGGCATATATATAACCCTGTTCACGGTTAATGCTCTTGACGAAAAGGAATATATAAACTGACAATAAGAAAACAACAATTCCTCGGAAATTAAGAATCTTTATTTTATTTACACTGACCTGCGAGCAAATTATTCCTATTAACTTTGCAATTTCATAAGCTTCCATATGTGGAGATAAATTTCTCTGAAGTCGCGAAAACACTTCCAGCATTCTTATTAGAAGTATGGTACGGGCTGATGAGTTCGGTCATGACAGAAAATTAGAATGAACCAAAAGCGAAGCGTAAACAATTTACTGTTTTCTTTATACTCGGTTTTTATTGATGCATGTGCGAAGAATTTTCAGTTACTTTATTGTTTTAGTCGTCAGCTTTTGATCAAACATACGGATTCTGTGAGTCCCTGCAGTTCAGGGAAATTAAAATCCATGGTTTTAACATCAGAATCATGTATCAATGGAGACATGGTAATCTAGAATATTCTAAAGTTCTTAACTGATAATTTGCTTTTTTCATATTTCGTGACTCTCTTGTTCTTATCCTATGCATATATTGTTGATTTATGGGTAAAAAAGTCATCAAAATTCAGACATAATAGTTCGCTAAAGGGAGTTATACTTTCTGTCTATTTTTTTTATGGTTCAACATTGAGTCAAGCAATTTACTAATTAAATAGAGTGTTTTTGTGAGGCTGACTACAACCAGAAAATGTCTCTTGCGATCCTTTAGGTGACTCTATACAACGAAATATAATGAAATTTGTTGACATATTGTTTATACGGGACTTTTGGCAAACCAAACAATAGCTGGGCATTATATATTTCCTTTCGATATAATAAGATAGATCTACTATCTTAAGTAACTCCAAATGACAATTTTAAATAACTTAAAGCTTTGTCGTATCCGCCGCAGTTTGATATCGCGTCAAACTATTTTAATTTGAAAAAGGTATCTTAATGAAGCCTACAGATGTAAATTAGACGCCTTGTCAGTTAAACACACTATGAATGAATTCGGTTAATGCGAACACCATAAACTTGTCGCAACCACATAAATACACAAACGACGATAGGGCGATATTCAGAATCACTAAAACAGCTGCTAGCTCAACATATCGCTAACCTGTACTATGAAAGAAACCATGGATACTTGAAGGGGTCGCGATTTCTTGAAACTTGGACCAGAAAAAATGGTTAGAAAAAGTATTTACTTTATGGACGTAATACTTCAGCAAAGGCAAAACTGAGCAACATTTTACCGAGACTTCTGTTAAACTTCATTTTTTGCAGTGCAACTTGTGAACAACTGAACAATATTTCACTGTCACAGTATTGAGATGAATAACATAGAAAATCTTAATGCAAGTAATGCGAAAACGAGCTCACAATCGTCTCCGTCTTTGGAGACGTACTTGATCTCTGCATTGTTTGTGGTCATTGCTGCCATCTCAGTTTTTGGCAACATTCTCATTATGATGGCGATCTTTATTAACAGAAGATTGCGAACGACAAGCAATTATTTGCTCGTTGCGCTGGCAGTACCGGATTTCTTTCAGGGAGCTGTTTCCCTTCCTCTGAGGCTTGTAGAAGTGTTGGACACGAAATCCGATCATGCGTCATTCTGTCGCGTGGCAATACCACTTTCGACTCTTTTCGGCGGCACTTCAAATCTTCACATCTTACTGATAGCTACGGAGAGGTTTATCGCCATTTGCTGGCCATTCTTCTACTGTAACTGGGTTACCACGAAAAACGCCTTAGTGGGCGTCGGCGGAACTTGGGTATTTATGACAATTTTCTCGCTTTTGCCAAGTCTTGGATGGGGTGGAAAACAACCTGAAGCCTCCGTCAAATTTTGCCGATTTCCAGTATTTCTCACGCAAGAATACATAACAAGTCTGTATGTATTCGTTCATGCTTTTCCTATCATAACTGTTATCTTCCTCAACGTCTTTATCTTGCGCGCCAGCTTTGACCACGCCCGACGAATTTGCGTTCAAGTGGCGGCCAGCAACGCCAATTCTCAAGTGGAACAGACTTCAACATTTTACCCCGAACAATCGGAAGAGGTGGGCAGAAGAAAAAGGGAAGCTTCAAGACAGATGAAGGCAACAAAGATTGTAGCTGCAGTCGTTGGATCGTTCATACTGATGGTTGTTCCAATCATCACTATCGATGTTGTTGAAATGATGACTGGTGCTGTGGTACCAGGCTGGATTGTGAAAGTCACTGTTCTGATGATCTATGCCAACCACTGTGTTAATGTTTTCGTATACGCGGGCTTTAACAGTGATTACAGAAACACTTTCAAGAAAATCTTCAAGAGAGGAATGAACATTGTCAGACCGGAGAGAAGTTAGTCTAATCCTTAAAATAGAAACTCCAACACTTAATTGATAAGATATAAAGCCACTTAACTTCGAAAAGTTAGAAATGCGTGTCAATGCAAATTGAACTGCTATAAGTGAGAAAAATCGGAAAAGTTAAGCCAGTCAGCAAATCACTACTATTAAACTTGTATGGACTAATAATAACAGGACGCTCTATATAAGTCTATCGGGAGAAGAACGTTGGAGTTTGATTCTGAAGCTGCTGAATCTTAACTGGGAGAAGCTGTTTCTGACCAAGGCAGTTTAATATTTGGCAAAAAGGGAAAAAAGGACGATAAAATTTACTATAATTTCTACCCTTGCTTGCCCAACCGGGCCTCGTTTCCATGCATATCCGCTTTCGCGTGCAAATCTCTTACTTCAAGTGGGAATTCCCCAAATGAAAATTCTTAGTGTAGAAATGCAGCAAAGTTTCATTTTACCGAACACGAAAGAAGAAAAGTCCCGCTATGTTACATCCACTGTTTTACTTCAGGTCGACTTAGGTGTAAAACTTGACTTAATATTTTTCTAGAAGTAACGTATTGAAGCTAAATATGCAGTAAACCATTCAGATTAGCCCCTTTCTATTCACCAAGAATTTCAAAAATTCCGGTCGGGATGGGCTTTAAACTAGAAAATTCCCGGAAACAAGTGGATTTTTATTAAGATAGCCCTCGGTTTTCCCGTTGGAAACTTTTCCGTTGAAAATACGTGTTCCATTCCAGGCTAGTCAAGAGAGGGGAACGAATGAAACAGGTTCTTTACCCGAATTGCTTCTTTCCGTCGAAGTTTCTGTGAGGTTTTGGTAAACGGAAAACGCGCATTCACAACTGAAGTTTTATGAGAATGATTTACTAACGTTATAAATATAAAAATGATTGGATGACTGACAATTATCGAGAGATTAGTGCATGTTTTCTTGTACAAAGGACGCCTGAAAAAAAATAACGACAGGAGCAATATCAATTAGTTTAGGTAATAGCATTATTTGCAGTGGTATTTGGCATAAATACCACGAGTGGTATTTCGAAATTGTTATACGTAATTTCACGAGCCGTTAGGCGAGTGAAATTTGGGACAATTTTGAAATATCACGAGTGGTATTTATGCAAAATATCACGAACAAATCATGCTGTTATTTGTTTATACTACTACCCGCAAAAGGTTTGTAATTTTCACATGTAGGTATTTCAAATTAAGCTTAAAAACCACTGCTCTAAGCCAGTCAAATTGCAGAAATTTCTCATGTTGTAGTATAACAATCTTAAATAAGTATAATTTGGCTGCATGGTTTGCAATAGTTTGTCAATAGCTATTAATTTTTAAAAATTACTCTGATTTTGCCTGATGAATGCCTATAATCTATATAGCTAGCAACATGAATACATTAACAGAGTTGAAATAAAATCTAAGCTTTAGATCAAGATTTTGTTTGGAGAAATCTGACATGGTCAAAGTAAAAGATCTCAAACTGTCCCTATGTTACTAATCAATAATAAGATGCAAACACAGGAGCCAGCGCCCATGGGATCAGGACAAGTGTCCTCTCAAGGGCCATAATGGCTTTTGGTCCTCTGCTGCATAGAGGTGTCCCTTAAAATGTGGTAACTAGTAGAAAGGTAATATGGGAGGGGAGGGGGTGGGCAAAGTTTGTGTCCCCTGAATAGAGGTTCGATTCGTTCGATTTTTTCTACACGCCTATGTAGCTCTGCTCTGTGCTGGTAAAGCCGTGTGAAAATTATCGACTGTTAATAAAAAGGGGATCCAGCTAGTGACCTCGGGAAAAAACGTTTCAGTCTAAGGATAACTAACTGTATTATTTTCTTCCCAACGTTTAATGCACAGTAATAAATCAGTCTTGCTCCTTTATATTTTACCTGTAGAGGGTCGGTCTCAAAGCTTCTCTCGCACTAATTTGGTCCTGAAGAAGAGCCAAGAGAAACAGTAGTCGGACTAATGTTGCGAAGCCGAAAACGTAACTAGTTCTAACGGTTGAAACTCCGCAACAAATTACTGATAGCTCGGCGTCAGTTTTACTCAACATCTTTGAAAGTGTAAACTAATCAAAAGAAAACAAGGAAGAAATTGTTGACGAGAGAGAAAAAACGACAACCAGGCCTCAGTAGGGAACTTGAGCTTAGTGTGCAATTTTCCAGAAAAATCAAATGCACGTCTTCGGCGAAAAGACCAAGTTTGAATTTTCCCTTTTATTGTAAATGGTATTTGAGGGTGATAATAAACAAAATGATATAGCCTTTTATGGCTGAATAATCTGGTAATTGGGCCTTTGAGATGAACTGCTAACAACTACAGCAACATGAGATAGGGATTGATAAGACAAGACCAAGAAGAACAATTTTATATTGCCCTCCAAACAGCTGGGTACTGATCTTCATTGCACAGTCCTTGACAACAACCAAAGGCAGAAATAAAACGAAGAAACAGGCGTTGTCACGAGTGCTTCTTTTAGCATAGGTCAATAGAATATGAAGGAGAATCACAAGTCATTTAACCGAACATTTCAACTCCACAAGGGGTTGTTAGCACAACCAAATCGAAAAAAAAAAGTCATAAGTTTGAACAAATAAGATCTTATACCATACAGAAGTCACTATTTGAACAGCTTTCCTTTGTGCGCATAATTCACCGCGTTTAATGAAAAGTACATAACATTGGTGAATGTGTTGAGTCAAGCGAGAGTGCATTTACTTTAATGGTTGCTTTGTTTTTCTCCTCTTTTGAAGAAAGAATGCGGATTAGTGACCTGTTGAAGGAGATTAGATAGTGTTTTCACCGAATGCCGCTAATTGGTAAAATGCAAATACACCTTTTAGTGAAAAATGTTTCACTTGTTTTGAACAACGAACCATATGCTACATCGCTTCGGTTCTTAAAACCTTGAATCCAGTTAATAACGGATCATGTCAAATACAGTAGATGAAGATTTTTAATCAAGAGGATTTATTGCTGAAGCGTAAACACTTTCGTGACCCTTACGTCGAAAACAAGATTGGTTTATACATATAAAAGAAATGAAAAAAAAGTCGTTTGTTTGCGGCGATGATGATCAAAGAATGAATTTAGTCAAGGAATACTTTGTTCGAAGCCAAGAGAGAATTTAATGTCATACGGTTCGCCGCGGGACTGGATGAGACAGAGCTTTATTGGAAAGTTATGTATTAATGTTGGCACTGGTAACAAGACTTGACGATAAAAAAGGAACAACAGTATTTATTTTAAAGACGCTGATATCATGAATAAAATGGAAAACACTGGCCAAAATAACTCTTCGTTTTCAATGACTTCTAATACACTGGACCACCAGTCTCACGAAAAACTGGCAGATGGTTCGATTTTCCTAGCTTGTCTATATTCAATTATATCGTTTATCGCCGTGTTCGGAAATCTGCTCGTTATAACAGCGATTTTCTGGGATCGAACACTGCGCTTGTACACAAGTAACTACTTCCTAGCGAATTTGGCAGTAGCTGACTTCTTTCAAGGCGCTGTGGCGATTCCTTTACGGGTGCTTGAAGTTCTTGGTACGGAATACAACCCCAACGTGTTTTGTAGGGTCGCCATCCCTACATCCATATTTTTTGGAGCCAGCTCTAATTTAGCCATCTTAGTTATAAGCATCGATAGATTTTTAGCCGTCAAATATCCATACGTTTACATACGCTATGCCACCACAAATTTCATCATCGCCGTTATTGCATTTTGCTGGTCAGTTGCAGCGGTGTTGAGTTTAATAGCGGCTTCCAAGCTGGTTTGGATCATACCGGATACTTTGACAAGAATTTGTCGTTTCCCAGTTTATTTGAAATCAGACTATATCATAGCAATGTATGTTATTGTTCATGCTATTCCTATTGGAACAGTTGTACTTTTGTACGGATTTATTCTGCAAGCCAGTTTAGTGCACTCAAGGCAAATACACGCTCAAGAACTGGCTGTGGTCGCTAGCGTTTCAATGTGTAGTAACAGCAACGTTAATGAAACTGACACCACAATTAGTACCGTGACAAATGGACGGAAAAAACAGCAACGAGAAACAGCGAGGCAGAGGAAAGCTGCCAAAACAGTTTCTATAATCGTTGGTCTGTTTATCATTCTTGTTGTACCTATAATAGCAATAGATCTTGCCGAGATGCTTGGTGCTCCACCAGCCCCCTTAATCTTGACAAAAATTTGCGTTTTTATGATATTCGCAAACAATTGTGTGAACGTTGTAGTATACGCTGGTTTTAATCAGGACTTTAGGCGAGCTTTCAAAAAGATTCTTTTAAAGATTGCAAGAAGCGTCTTTCGAATACGGACTTACAGATAAAAATTCAGCAATGAAGCACACACCACTAGTAAACTCGGCATTCTCGCCCCCAGAGCCCGTCGTTTCTGTTGGTCACGTGGCCTTGAAGCCGAGTGGCTCTGGAGACGAAAATGTAAACTCCGCGGTTCCGTGATAAAAAGCAACGACGACGTCGACCTCAACGAGAACGGCAAAAAAGCAATTGGTTTAGATTGGCAAAACAACAACTTTGCACGTGCATCACGCTTTTCTGTACATTTCTTAGCCGTCAGTGCACGACTACGACGTGAAAATGCCGGAATTCTCGTTTTTTGGAGGACGTGAACAAAAAACAACTACTTTCTATTTCTTTTCCTGAACTTTGTTACAGATTTTAGAATTCAACTCCAGAAAAAATTGTTAACATTTGACGAAATGAACGAGATGGAATGAGCGCGGTAAAGTTTGAAGCGGTGCGACTTCACTTTTTAAGTGACGTTTTTTCGTAAGGGCAAGTACGTCGCGCACCTGTCCAGCCTTATCTACCTGCTGTAGTCTGTGCTTCCTTGCTGAATAGGTCAGTTTTTTCAAAATTCATACTTGGGTGCGAGGCTTAGGGGAATCACAGAAAAGACGTAGCATTAAGGTTCAGTAATTAACAATTCTTTTCTGAATTCCCTCTGTCTTGCAGCAAAGAATG